GGAGGGCTCTGTAAATATCCGCGAGACACGAAAGATGCCGAGGCCATCGTCTTCCACCGTGCTGAAGGGCCGGCGACGACCAAGTCACGTCAGAAATGAATAACGAGTGAAATTTTGCTCGGGGAGAGACAAAGTAGGAAGCACTTTCAAGAACGGACGGTGAAAAATTACGTGAAAAGCGAAGCAGCGCTCAAATGAGAAAGCCGCAGCGAACGCGGCTTCGAGTCGGCGGGTCCGACCGGGGCTTATCTCGCGGCGGGCGAGTGGGTGGCTGCGGGAATGGTCAGATAGTTTAGTATCGGAAGAGCAGCGGATAAGGCATGTGTGCATGCTTTTCCGTTTGGCCCTCTTTGCGTCTGTCCTGTCCTCCTTGGAGGGACGCGCTTCTCCACCCACGTGGTCGTTGCGCGAGGGAGGGAGCGAGCTTCTCTCTCTCTCTCTCGAACACTTAGAAACGAGATAAATCTAAAGTGGACGGCATACGTGCAACGTCCAGGCGGGCCCACGCGGAGAGAACCGCGGGCCCGGGTGTCGCGTGAGAGCGAGAGATAGCGAAACCTGTCGCCCTCCTCTCTCGCGCCCCGTTGAAGCGTTGCTCGTAAAAGGAAAAGCGCGTTGATAACGCGCGACGTAATGGCTTCCGTAATTTTCAGACGGCGACGCGACGCTCGTTCGTGGCCGGCAGATTTTCAGCGTATGAATTCGCTCGCTATCGGGTACCGGTGAATCCTCTCTGTTTCTCTTTCTCTCTCTCTCTCTCTCTCTCTCTCTTTCTCTTTCTGTAGTCTCCTCCGCGCTTTGTAAATATCTACGAGAGACGGGCGCGGAAGCTTGTCTCTCTAAAGCGCCGACTGGCCGGTCCACGTGGACCTCATCGGGGCGGCGGACCTCTTGGTCGGAAAATGTCTCGGGAATTATTTTCCTTTCCTTGACTTTTGTTTTCAGCACGAACGTGGCTTTCGGCGCGAGAATTACGAATTTCATGCGGGCTACCGAGTCCAAGTCGCCTGTCAACGACGGGGCCCGAGTCGGAGAGGCTTGACCTCGAGGCTCCCAAAGTTCCTAGTAACAAGAATGAGAGGAACTTTGGTCGTAAAATACGTCGTGTAATATTATACATTTGAGAGATGGGGGAGAGAGAGAGAGAGAGAGGGGAGAGGGGGAGGAAGGGAGGGAGGCAGAGAAGGAGGGGGAGAGAAGAAGGAAAAAAAACGGACGTACGAAATTAGCGGTTGGTCGTCCGACAGTTCGGACTTTATCTTAAAACCTCGAGCGGTTAAGAGAGCAGAGGCAAAAGAGAGGATTGAAAGCGCGCGCGATAGGCTGGAAGAAAGGGCGGAGAAGGTCGAGACGGAGGACGAACAAGGTTCGTTTGCCCGCCTGCACACGTGCACCTATATGGTAATTCCTCGGTCGCGGCGGAGTGTCGAGAATTTGACGACGGGGTACGCCATAAAAGTACGCCCGGCCAGAAAGTATCGAGGAACACGCACACGGCACCGAGCGGCACGACCGTATTTTTTTCGCGTCTGGGATTATTAACCCCAACATGCGTAGTGCCTCACGTATACGCTGCGTGTTCCTCGCGCGCGCACGGATGCCGCGTGTGCGTGTCGGCCGTGCCCGAGCGTACAACAATCTAGAAGCGGAAAGGAGATTTTCAAAGCCCCCCTGAGGGGCGCCCACACGCTGATCTCGAGTATTTCGAAATGAAACGCCTTTCGAGGCGAATTGGCGCGAGGCGCGATTTTTAGCGCAATATCACTTTTTTTCTCTTTCCTTTTTTCTTTTTTTCTTTTTTTTTTTTTTTTTTTCTTTTGCTTTAATCGGGACTGCTGTTCACGCGAGCGCAACAATATGCACCGACAAGAATCTTCCGAGTAGCCGGTCACACTCGAGACGTCCCTGATGCACACCTGGGGAGTGAGGCAGCCGAAACGCCTACGAAAAGAGGAAGACGCGGAACACACGAGCGGGACCCCGTGAATCTCATCGTCCTCCCGGAGGCTCTCTCTCTCTCTCTCTCTCTCTCACCGGGAAAGAGAGAGAGAGAGAGAGAGAGAGAGGATCGAAAAGCGAAGCTCCTCTCGGTTACCGGTCACCGCTAGGCGGAGATACCGGGTGGCACGTTCGGCCAAAGAGCCTCGCGACGTGAACATACCGCCGTCGTCTCGTGGCGTGGGTTTCGGGATACACGGCCGGGCATATTCGAGCGGTCATTGTCCACCTATCGATAACGCGCCTGCCAGCTTCGTGACTGTGAACGCGCCGTTGCCTCGCGAGATCTGTATCGGCCATAAGCGCGCTTTGTTCGTCCGGCCGAAATCGTAGTCCCGTCGCCGGCTACGATCGCGAGGAGGAGCGGAGGTCGATCCGGGAAATGAGCTGCCCGTTACACGATTCCCATTGTATCTCGGCTCCTTAGTACCTCGTCACCGGCCCCGACCACCCAAGTCGCTCACGAGGGCTCCTGGCGCTGCTCGTGACAGCCCGGCTACGTTTTTAATTAACAACGTGCAGTCGGAATCGACGAGAGGACGGCGAGATGGCGAGGGCGAAGCTCGCTTCTGCCATCTGCCCGCTCGGGATCAATTTTCAACCTCGCCGCGACTCTCGTCTCGGCCGAGAAGGTGAAATTATTTCACACTTGCCCCGCCTGTGCGTCTTACGCAACACGTCGTCGATGGCCCTGTTTTTCTCCATATCAGTGAAACAATTATCTTGGTTTTCCATATTTTTGCTGGTCGTAGTCGCAACAATTGTAATATTTGCGAGTCGGCTTTCGTTTTCCTCCTCGTGTTCAAAACGCAAGAGGGGAAGCCGCGAAAATTGGTGGCCGGACAAAGGAAGGGTTAACGAGTCGCTGCGCAGGAAACGCAGCGTAATGCCGGCGTTAATGCCGCGTCGTGGCTGGACGGTAAACATTTACGAATGTCTCAATCGCGATTACGAAGCGTGGCTCTCCCCCGAGAGGCAGAGAGACAGAGAGAGAGAGAGAGAGAGAGAGAGAGAGAGAGAGAGAGAGAATATGCCGTTGCAAAAGCCGCGGATCTTTTTTAACCGCCGCCGTCGGCCGGCCGGCCGTTCGCTTGCTTGCTTGCTTGCTTGCTTGCTCGCGCTTGCAAATCCTGGACGCGACTGCGTCCGGGTTTGTCGCCCACTTTGCGCTCTCGCGGCCGCAGGTGTGTCGCAGGCCGCGGCGGAGCAACGTGCCCGGGCTTTTTCGCCTATATACACCGTTATACAGCGTGTCCCGAGATTCAATAACCCGCGATCCGCAGCCGTCTAACGGCGCTCGTCGAAAATCTTTTATACGCGCGCCAAGCTCCCGCTGCGAGTGTCGGGATCACGTCTCGTGGATCGGGAAGGACCGCTCAGGAGCGCGCGTTTTTTCTTCCTTCCCTCCGTCGGAGCGGACTCGCTCACGCTCTCCCGGACACGGGGTGTTATTAAAAAACAATTTATCGATTACTCCGAGGGGAAATTTTGGCCGGCGAGTAAACCTCGGTCGAGCCAGCTGCTTTGGCCATAAGAAACGGCATCGTAATTTAAAAATCGTCCAGCGCCGGGAGATTTCCTAAGAGCCCGGCTGGGCGCGTGGCTTCATGAGAGAGTGCTCTCTCTCTCTCTCTCTCTCTCTCTCGTCTCTGTGTTGCTCCGAGGAGAGACAAATTTCCGAGGTGGAAGCCAAGTCCGGTGATCTGTCAAAAGGAAAGCTGGGAGGATCATCGAATGCTTCTCGCAAGTCCGTCGGACTATTCGCGAACACCCGGTGGATCCGTCCACGACAGGCAGCCTACGTCGGCCTACGTATATATGCGGGTATATCTGCCTACCTACCTACTTAGTTCACCGATTCTCGCCGGTATTCACGGGACGAAAATGCGTACCCACGTCTCGGGACTCTCGGCTGCGAGGCGAGCGTGCTCGGCTCTCTCGACTCTCGGCTCGGCTCGGCTCGCTCAGGTACTCGGCTGTCCCGACTTCCGGCCGTGGTAAAGGTGTGCCTAGGCGAAGTTATACCCACGCGACCAGACACCGACGATCGATGGCGAGGCAGGAGAGAGAGACAGAGAGAGAGAGAGAGACAGAGAGAAAGAGAGAGACAGAGAGAGAGAGAGAGAGAGAGAGAGAGAGAGAGAAAAAGCCGCGGGGATAGGAGAAAAAGAGGAGAAAAGTGAGAAAGAGGAAAAGAAAGGAGAAACGCGTGGAGCGAGTCGCGCGCGCACGCGCTGCCACAGCTTCGCCGAAGCTTCGCCCGCGGAAAGACCTGTTTTTCGATAGATCGCGCACGAACTCGCCGTTAAATCACACGCTCGACCGCTCGGCGCTGATGCTAATTCGAGCGAGCGAATGAACGCGCGCGCTTGCGCGCGCGCGAGAGAGAGAGAGAGAGAGTGAATGAAGGTAGTATCGCAAACCTGAAGAGGTTGCGACGGCAGGCCGCTCCTGCCGACCGTTTCGGCTTTTCGTCGTGTCCTTGAGGTCATCGCGACGCACCGCGCCGGTAACGTCGGCGGAAATTCCGCTCTTACGGAGCGCAGCGAGTCTGCTCTCGAAACGAGCAGGTTCGAAACTCTCTCCTGACTTCGAGCAGGGTCTGATAGTTTTATGAATGAAGCACACATAGTCGCGAGTCGCACTCGCTGGGATTCCAGGAGCGAAATTTCACTCGGGCTGGGGAGATTTTTTTACTCGGACAGAATAGACTCTCCGCTCCGCGATCTTGAAGAGTGAACCCGACGTGTTTCACTTCGACGATTCGTCGCAGAATCGAGTTGCCGCCAATCGTACGACTGTAATGTCCACTCGTACTGGCAATTCTGCGAGAAGTGGTATTTTCGCTTCGGGTGAACCTTCAGCCGTCCCTTCCGAGAGTGAAGTCTCACTCTCTGCAAGGTCCGGAGAGTCCAGCGTAAAGTTTCGAGCTCGTCCGTACACGATACGTTGTTGCGAATTGCTTTGGAATAAACGCGCACATCTTGCACTGATTGTTTCAGTTTGTCGACTTGGGCATGGTGACTAGCATAGAGTACAATCATAAACCCGTGGAATCGGCCAGGAAAGGTCAGGAGGTCTGCATAAAAATCGAACCGATCCCGGGCGAGGCGCCCAAGATGTTCGGTCGCCACTTTGAAGCAAAGGACTTCCTCATCAGCAAGGTGAGTTTCGGTCATTCGTCGTCGGCTCGCTGAATTTCGACGGAAAACGAACTCGCTCGTAACTTCAGCCATCGCATACGAAAATCGCGTTTCGTGAGAGACGTCTTCTAGTTTTCGAGTCACGTGATGTGCAACTCGCGCAACAAGTTTCGCGCTCGTCGGCGCGGCGGTAGGCCGCGCGAAACCGAGAAACGCGGTTTCGCCTTGACGCAAATTCGACTTAGTATGCGAGACCTAGATCGAAAAACGGAGGGAGCAAGAGGAGGTGGAGCAGGAGGGAAAGATGAACATCCGGCGGCGATCGCCCGTCCGCCGCCGGCTTCCGGCCTTCGTAGAAGCTCGCTATCTTTCGTCCCTCCGCCTCCTTCTCTCCCTACCTTCAGCTCTTCTTCCTTTTTCGTCTTCCTCCTTGAGAGGCCAGGATATCGGCTACTACAAATCGACAACGAAGACAGGATCGGGCCTTGCCCGCTTGGAAACTTCATCCTGAAGTTTCGAGCGAATGCTTTTTCGCTTTGGCTAAAAACACGGCTGAAAATGTAGCTGGCTTTTCTACAACATTAATCCTTTGCGGCTCGAATCGTTCTCGACTTTTCGACCCGGACAGATTTATTCGCTCTGCGACGTGACACCGCGACAAGTGTCTCTCGCATTTACTTCAATATTTCAGCGTTTAATTAACACAAGAATTAATTTATTTGTATCAATATTAGAATATTCATATATTATTTTATTTTATTTTTATCATTTTTATTATTTTATCTTATTATTATTACATTTTATTTTACTTTTATTATTTTATTTTATTATTATTTTTACATCATCTCTGTACTGTAAAATCGATCAGAACGAAACGCAATGTCGATGGACGACACCCAAGAAGGATAAAATAGATGCACGCGCAGTTGTGTAGTTTTCATATTGTCCGATGAGCAAAGCTGCGCAAACAAATCGCGTTGCGTCGAAATACAAGCAAGAAAATGGAAAATTCCGTTTGCGGCTTGAAACGTTGACAATGGACCATAAAGTGAGATCGCGAGCGGATCGTGTTTCAATTGGCCCCAGTTGGCGAGTTCCCGAGGAGATGCGTGTAAAGACTGTTGCGATCGTTAATTAAGACGGATGTTTCGTAGGCTTCGTTGCCCCTGTGAGAAACGGTACCGCGTCTTTTCTTCGACGTACAACCGACCGACGTCTCATCTTCATTCTTTCCCCTCCCCCATTCTTCCTTACCTTCCCTCTCCCCTTCCTCCCTCCGCCCCCGCCGCTCTTCATCCTCCAGCACCTCCTCTTCCTCCTCTTTTCTCTGGGCCTGTTCTATCGTCGTGCTTCGAACACCTTCCTGTGCTTTGGTAGACAAGCGGAAGTCGTCGTTACCGTTTGCTTCGTGGAATCAGTTCCGGAAGTATCTTGTTCCCACGATGATTCTCCCGAAGCCACCGTTCCGCCGACGACACGTCGACGGCTCGTACGAGCGAAATTGGAGCAAGCGCGCTTGCTTTTGTTCCTTCCGAGGAACACGCCTTGGGCAGATAGAGAGAGAGAGAGAGAGAGAGAGAGAGAGAGAGAGAGAGAGAGAGAGAGAGAGAGAGAGAGAGAGAGAGAGAGAGAGAGAGAGAGAGAGACGTTAGAGAATGCGCGACACGTGGAAGCAAGAGGCGCGGACAATGGCGAGAATCGGAGAATGTTTCGCGCTTGAAGCCGCCGTCAGACCGTAGCCGTGATCGGGAAATTGCGGGAAATGCGAAGAGCAGAAAAGAAAGAGCCACACACGAATGGCGGGTGTAGAGTTACGCGAGTGTGCGCGCGATATCACGCGGCCGGCTCGGCGATAACTCTCCTGACAGTTTGCACACGCACGATAAGTGGCGACGCGCGCGCGAACCAAACAGCGCGCGAGGTACAAAATTCCGAGCGAGGACGGAACATTACTGTGGCGAAAATTACTGCCGTTGCCAAGTAAAAAAAGAAAAGGAAAGAAAAAAACTAATATTCCCTCCGAGAAGATGACACGACAACTAAATTAACGCTAAGACGGGCGGGCTGCAATTTCATTTCCGCGATGCAAGGTTGCATGAATTTGTGTCACGCACGGCGAGATACAAATTATGAAGATCCCATTTTCGAGGCAAGAGGTAAAATTGAAAAGAGCCCGCGCGAAACACGAGTAGCAGCCGCAATCTTCGCCGGCCGCGGCGGAGGGCGGCTGCGAAATCGGCGAAGACGAGGGAAGACGAAAAGCGCGCGCTTCGTTTCCGCACGCTCATCTCGCGAGCGTGCGGAACAATATTTCTCCGCGAGCTTTCCTCGCCGGAGCTTCCCGCGTTTATTTACCCGAGCGCGTTCGCGCGAACACGCCGCGTAATCTCTGCGCGGCCAAGTCGGCGAGAGAGAAGCAAAGGGGGCGATCGCGGGGAATCGCGGGGAATCGCGACCGGATGTTGCCGCGAATCCGAGCCGTTGACGTCGCGCGCGCGCGTTAAAGACCTCTCCTGCCTCCTCGTCGACGGAGAGCAACAGACAGCCGCGGAAAAACCACGTCCGATCGACGTCGTTTCTCCTCGTCACTCGAAATTGCATAATAACAACGCGAGCTACGCGTGATCGCGAATCGCGCGCGTACCTCTTTGCCGCGCGCGCGAGCAACTTAAACTTTCAAATTAGCTCTCCTCCGCGCTATGCGCCGTCGTTGAAATTTTTTATGATTACCGCGAACTGTTGTATATTCAACGTTCCGCGTACTTTACGAGCGGTAATACGGACGGAGAGAGGAGAGGGAGAGAGAGAGAGAGAGGAACACGTGGGGGCGAAGGCGACCGAGGAGGACAGAGAGAGAGAGAAAGAGAGAGAGAGGGGGGGGAGCACGATGGGCAGCGGAGAGCGGAGGGTGAAGAGAGACAGAGAGAATGAAACGTGGCGAATAAGAGGGAGGACGGTGGGAAAGGGAGGAGAGGGGCGAGCGAGAAGAGGCGTGGCGGGAGGCAGGCGTCCTCAATAGCCGCGTAAAACCACCATTGTGACCGATCCATGAATGAAACGGGACTTCCGGCCGGGAGTGGGGGCGGAAACAGTTGTGAAGCGTTACGTTTCCGAATGGACCGGTGAGCGTGCGCGCCCGCGCGCCGTGCTCCCTTTCCTCTGCCTCCTCCCTCCCCCTCCCCCCTTATCCTCTTCGCTATATTTCATTCTCTCTCTCTCTCTCTCTCTCTCTCTCTCTCTCTCTCTCTCTCTCTCTCTCTCTCTCTCTCTTTCTCTTCCTCTTTCTTTCTTTCTTTTTCTCTCCCCGGTCGATGTTGGCGAAAAACTCTGCGCGAAAATTAGCCACGTTGCCCCGCGCGAGCGAAAGCTCACGTCCCGGAAGTTCCCGCGTGCGGGCAGCTGTTTCGTGTTTAGCGGGCGACATTAATTTATTTATTATTAATACTTGATTTGCTAACACATTCGTCGACATTCGTTCGTCGGTCAAATCTATCGGTCGCACGATAGATGGTTGATCGAACGATCAGTCCGGTTTCTCGCTGGTTCCCAGGAGATACGGCTTTCTTCTCGGGTCTTCGCATCCCCTTGCGTTGGCATTCAATTTTCACGCTCCTGAAAGGGCAAAAGCTGATTTGGATTCGTTGGTGGCGGGACGTCTGGGGAACGCAAAGGGGTGTAACGCCCGCAAATTGCGCTAAAGTTCAAGTTGGCTTGCGTCATTGTGGCTGGCGAGCCGAAAGCAGCTCTATAAAACTTTGTCAGGCGAAATCGATTTTGCACGTTCGACCTCCCTCGAAATTCTCACCCCCCCACATTTTGTGCGTTTCCTCGTTGAAAATTTGCTCGTTTCCGACGGTAACAGCGCTCCATCGGGGCAACCGTTTGTATGTTACAGATCAGCAGACAGAGCATCGACGCTTGCAAGGATTACTTCAGGGACGACCTGCTGAAGACCGATTGGCAGCTGATGGTGGAACTCAAGAAGCTCTTCCAGATACTCTAGGATACGCTGAGGCTCACGATGACGTCATCCGGCGCCCTCCCGTCGCTTTGACGGCGAGATGACCGGCGAAGCTGCGATATCCTTGCGAGGTACTCGAGACCATTGAGCGAAGATCGTCTCCTCGAGTCATCCCGATCGACACCGCGCGCCTCGGGACGTGGCATGCTCGAAAACCTGCCCCATCCATTTCCTCGCCAACCGCGAGTCTGTGCACCTCGGCCGTCCTCCTTCCTTGTCTCGACTACTTCACATCCTCCTTGGACCCCGAAGAGCATGCTACGGAGACCGAGAGGAAGAAGAAGAAGAAGAAGAGGAAGAAGCACGCGAGAGAGAGAGAGAGAGAGAGAGAGAGCGGTCTCGGAACGCGTCCTTGAAAGCGTCACGCGCTTCGCCTGCCTACGTCTTGGCGGAACGTTCGGGCGGAATCGGCGGGTCGCGCAATTGCATTCGGGATATTCACGGAATACCACGTGGCCAGTACCCGCGAATCTCACCAGCGAGGACGTCGCGGCGCATCGACGAGGAGCTTCTTGGAAGTGTGCGATCGCGAGGAGGGCAGGAGGGAACAGTCACTCCGGATGGGAACGTCGCGGGTGGCGACGGCGTTGTAGATACGCTGCAAGAAGAGACGGAGAGATAAAAGAGCGAGAGAGAATAAGAGAGTCCCCGGGGGTGAGCAGGGACTAAGAGGAGAGAAGAAGGAGAGGGAGGGGAGAAGAAGACGAAGAAGAAAAGGAAGAAGAGACGCAGTGCTGACAAACGAGAGGGAAAATTGCGCGAGAACCTCGTGTGTTTTGTATATGTAATCCCTTTATATAAGATAAGAGCATGGTATGTCGACCGTGAATAAAGACTACTGCGCGTTTTCGCAAAAAAGAAAAAAAACGAAGAAAGGGAAGCAAGAGGTACATTTCTGTCGTCGGCGCGGTGGATCGACGCGCGTCGATCTGCCTCCATCACCTTCAGGAACCACATTGTCCCGTGCCGTCCGATGATCCTTGATCCTCGCGAGTACACACCAATCCTGACCAACACCGACCTTCCTGTTTCATCGCAGATGTCTCCTACGTCGCGCGTCCGATGTCCTCGCCCGCAATCGTCGGTAAGTGAAGCTTCAGTTTCCCACGATAGATATTTCCGCGAGGAGCTTGCGAACGCGCAACGGTGAATTCTCGAGCTTCGACCCGACGTCGATTTCGTGTGCGCGCACGAGCACGACGTAGAGAGCGATACCGAGAGAACTCAAGGGCTTTTTCATTCTTTCATTCAAAAGCAGGCACGTTTGCTTCGCTTTTGTTTTCGTTGCTTAACAAGGTAGCAACTCGCGCTCATTTGCGAGAGAGAACGTTCGTATCGAGGATACGCGGTTGAAATCGTCCTGCGTTGTGAACGCGAAGAATCCGAGACGAGACGAGTCCATTGGGAAAAAGGAGGCTCGTAGATTCAACGAGCCCTTTTCCGGTCGCCACCTCCGTCGCGCGGTCCCTTATTAAGACTTTTGGCAATATACGCGCCGAGCGTGGGAACGGGCGTTTTTAATTGGCCGGGAGTGGCAATAACGCCGGAAAGAAACTCGAGAAATAAATCAAGGAGGAGGAGGAGGAGGAGGAGAACGACGACGACAACAACGACGACGATGACGATGACGATGACGTGTTACGTTACGGCAGCGTTGCCGTAGATCGCGTATTGTTCTCGAATTCTCGAGCCGTCCTCCAGCCTCCTCTCCGCCAGCCTCTCTTCTTTTTTTAGCGCCGCCGGAAGCGACGATAATGGGACGCGGGCGTGCGAGATCGATCGTACGTGACAGAATCGAAAGATCGTCGTCGCGCGACGCCTTGCGATTGGTGCGCCGAAAGCCGGACTTTGCGAGTCAACATTTCTTTCGCCGACCTTACTGATTCTGTCGAATTTGAACGGCACTGTACATTGATCGGGTTACACCTTGATTCATTAAATGGTTAGCGGTACCGTGTCAGTGGTCTTTAAAAAGAATTTTAATGTTATATATTTGATTATTTTATAACCAGTTTATTAGAGATGCGCGAATCAAGAATTTTTATGTCGAATCGAATCAAATCGAATATCATTTTTTAAATTTGATTTTAAATCGAATCGAATCTATAAAATTTTACTCGAATTCGAATCGAATCGAATGAAATCGAATCGAATCATTAAAAAATTTAACATGACTATTAAACATGCAAATAACGATGGAAGATTTTAATACGAAAGGGAATACTGATATTGTAATATCACTTTAAAGTAAAATATATATTTAAATAATTAAAGTAATTTATAATTAAGTTATAAATTATAAGTTAAGTTGATTACAAGTTAAGGGTTCAAACATACAGGCCCAGATGGCCCGTTTTATAGCTGATGCACGTAAACGATAATGTATTTGATTTCTATTCGAATTATTCGGATTCGAATAGTTCGCACATCTCTACAGTCTATTTGTAAGGAGTAAGCAAAATAGCAGATATTTTTTCACTTCTTTATAATTTGCTGGTTATTTATTTTTTTCATGTCATCGGAAATGTGAAATATATATTTATTCTTTAACGAGATCATCGAACCGTAATGAATAATTCTGAAAAGAATCCTATTTTGAGGCTAGGTATGAAAAAGACGGCAAAGACGGTAACCGTTCGTATCATCAAAATGGGGCCACAGTTCGTAATGTTGTATTTCAGGATCCTTCGTTGGTCCTTCAGACTCGACGGAATTTGCAGGATTAACGTAGAACCGAAATTTCGACTCGAGGGAGCTCGTGCTTTTCTCTTTCTCCCTCCTCTGATATTTCATCGCGGTTTATCGATGCGTGTGCCGTCTTACGCGTGTATCTTAACGCACACACACACACACACACAGACGCGTGTACTTTACGTCGTATATTATACGCTCGAGTTCGTCATTGGCCGAAGTCAGAAAATATGTCGTGTCCTTGCTGTGGAAGCAGCCGAGAGTGCGAGTCGCTCGGCTCGAGCTCAATAAACGCACGTCATTTCGAGTCATTCATGCATCTGCAGGTTGTCCTCGCGTCTCTCTCTCTCTCTCTCTCTCTCTCTCTCTCTCTTTCCTCCCTCTCTCTTTCGTACAGGTTACTCACACACATCGGTGTGTGAATGCAACCGCGTTGCGCACGTGCGTGCGTGCTCGCGCATTGATCGCTCGGCTCGGCGCAGCCCGGCGAGGACCTCGCGGATCCTCCGCGCGGGATTTACGCGAGATCGAAGAAGACGCGAGAGGTCGGGCATTATCAGCTGTGTCTGCCAACGTTGATGAAAAAAGCGTAACCCAAGTTGGAAATCTGCTCGCGGACGTGTAAAGTCAGCTCGAGCTTTAACCGACGTTGGCAGAATCAGTCGGAGGACGGCCGCGACATCGACTTCCGAAAAAGAAGTCTGTTTTCTTTCGAAAGACGCCGCGATGGCGATGAGAGCGACCAAGTCCCGGGGATCTCCGGCTACGACGGCGCGCTGGAATATTAAACGCGGCGGCGGCGGCGCGAAAGCAACGCTCGCTCCCGATCGGGACGGGCAGTCCCGGCCGAGATACCGTAAGGAAACGTGCGCGAAACGTGCAGGACGAGGGGCAAGGGCGTCTTCTCGAGTCGCGAGTCGAGGAGGGGAAAGTGTAATTGTGAAAATGAGGATAACATTTCGCCACTGCAGCGTTCCGAGTATACCCAACTTCTCGATGCCCGACCGAATGACTTACTTCATTAGTGGCAATTAACCTCCGCAATTGCCACGAAGGCGTCGGCGCGGGGAAATATCGGAGGAGGAAAAACCCGGCCCCGAGGGAGGGGGAGGGGAGGGGAGGGGCCCCGTTTCTTCTGCTCCTTCTTCTTTTCCGGTCCTCGCGTGCATCTCGTCGCGATTCATCTCGTCTCGCCGCTTCCGCCGACGTTGATTCGGCGAGAGGACGCTATCGCGAATTGTCACGCGTCTTGCATTCGCGTTTAATTCCCAATTAACGCCCGCTTGGGATGGAACGTAAGACGCGCGACGGCCGTTTGAACATGCCAAGGGACCGCTGTTCTCGAGACCGTCATTGAACATTGACTGCGGGCATCCGACGGAGAGAAAGAGACACAGTGAGAGAGAGAGAGAGAGAGAGAGAGAGGAGGAGGGGGGGAAGAAGTTGAGAAAAAACGCAGGAACCTGGAAGGAAGCCAGTAGGGGGTTCCGCTCCGATAGCCGAAAGGTCTTTTCACGGGCGAGCAGGCGTGAATTGAAGACGCGGTGCATTCACGAAAAGTCCCATCGCGAGCTCGTTGTATTTCACGCGGAGTAAAACTTCCGACGTGAATGCGACTGCTCGTCGACTCATTGAGGACGCGCTGTTACGGCGCTATGAAAGAAGGGCGATGTGCCGGCGCACGGAGGGAGGGTATACGTTCTAGGGAGAAAGATCGAGAGTGTGCTGCGTGTGTGTGTGTGTGTGAGAGAGAGAGAGAGAGAGAGAGAGAGAGAGAGAGAGGGAGGGGGAGGGCGGGAGGAGAAAAAGAGAGAACGGGAGAAAGACGGAGAGCTAATACGAGAGGGGGCTGAATGGGAGGGGGGAGCGTTTCTACACCGGATATCCTCTCGGGGGAAGCGGTGCACGCGATTCGCATCGCCACGCCCGTACGGCGTGTAGATGTAAACGTCGTCGCTCGTATTACTAACAGTATAAATGGCCGAGGAAAGGCAGCCGAGGTTGCGTCGATTGGATTGAAATTGCCCGGCCAGCGAAATACTTCTCTCGGCCGAGCACACAATGCGAAACGACGGCGCGTATCAGCGAATGCACGTGCTCTCTCTCTCTCTCTCTCTGTCTCTCTGTCTCTGTCCCTCCCTCTCCCTCTCTATCTCTCTATCCGTCTATCTATCTATCGCAATCTATCTTTCAACGCAGCTCCGCTTGCGCAACGTCCGCGATCACGATCGGCTGATAACAGCGCCGTAAACGTATCGATACCGTAAACGCGCGACGTCGCTCTTACTTCGGCATAAATTATACGCATAATTGTAATACAAAGATGCGAAATTTGACAGCGGAAGTTATACTGCTTTTTGTAAGCGAGGGACACACACATCGACATGTTGGCCCAATTTGTCGGGGATTTGCTGTTCCCATCGGCAAAATTTACGATATTCGATACTCGCGAAAAGACTTTGATACGAGGAGACAGAACGCAAGTACACTCCCTTCGTGCACGGTGATCTTCCACTTGCGAGCGCACGTTAGATCATCGCCGCGGCCGGATCATAGATGCGGTAAATCAAACGCGCCGCCGCGACTATCGGCGCAGAATATCTCTCTCGCAATTTTCCTCGCTCGTTTTTCGCGACGCCCGTTTCGAGCGTTTCGGAGAAACGCCCGACTGACACGAGCGGGTGCCTCGAGACGAACATTCCGCGTACTGTTACGTGAATCACGAATCGGCCGATGAGCGTCTCGCGACGCGCTGTGAAAAAACGGCTTCTCGGAAGGTGGTGCATGTCATACTCCGCTTGGCGCGACGCGGAATCGACGACGCGGGCGAATTCATCGAAGCGCGCTCCGACGACGAGAGGAGGGAATTATAATGGGCGCAGTTTCTCGCGATGCCGGATCTCGAAGACGCGGCGAACGTCGACGTGTTTATACCCGCCTGATGCGAAGCGGCCCGGACAACCGTCTTCTCCTCAACGGGGAGAATCTGTTTCCTCGAGTTCCGCTCATGAGGTAGCTTCTCCTCGTCGGCTGCACCGAAGACTAAAATTCGTCCGAACTGTTCCGCAAACGAGCACACTATCGCGGACACGAAGCTTGACACACTTTTCCTCCGATGCACCTCGGAGGAACGTAGCCGACGTGCGGTGGAAGAATTATAACCGGTCAACACATCGGCATTCCGTCTGCATTTATTGTTTCCTCCCGCTTCTCGTGCGCCATTTGCGCCTGAGAAACCGAGGTTTATTATTCACATCGTCTTACCGCTTCTCTCCCGCTCAGCAAGGCAAGCCCTGGCGCTGTGTACTCTTGCGCAGCAAGGAAACGCGGTAGAAAAACCGGAAGGAGTCGATGGAGAAAGTTAATATTAATTTAATTTAATGTTAATTTAAGTAAATTTAAGTTAATATTAATTTGACCCTTTAACGCCTACTGGTAACTATAGTTACTGGAAACGCGGATTTAAGAATCCACAACTTCAAGTCAAAAAAGGAGATATTTTCGTTTTCTTTGCACCATTGTAAAGGTGAATTCTTCTTCTAAAAATGGTATATAGATTCAGTTTAGTCTGTTTTTAGCTCAGTTTTAATGATAACATA